TGTGCTGGGAGCTGGTAGATGAGGCTCTCTCCTTAACTGGAGTCCTGGTTTCAGTGGGGGATGCAGTTTTGGGGCTGGGCCCTGTGTAACCACCAGGCCTCCCCTCCCCTCATCATCACTGCTCAGTAGATTCAGCCCTCTGCCCTGGTGCGGCCACTGCCCAGGGAGAATTCAGGTTCATGCCAGTGCTCAGAGGGGGAGCTCTGGGGACATCGGGGCTTGTTATCGATGTCAGGGAGCTGTTTGGCCTGGGATCAGGGGTCAGGAGAGGGACTGGGGACCTTGTATAGGAAGGAGGCTCAAGATGGAGGGACCCTGACACCATTGCCCTGTTCACAGGTCCCCCTGGAGGCCCCCGGCCAGGCCAGAGCTTCTGCCGCCATGGCGATCGTGCAGACTCTGCCAGTGCCACTGGAGTCTGCGCCTGAGACCGCCACTAACCCACAAGCTCCAGCCATGGGCAGTGTGAGCAGCCTCATCTCAGGCCGGCCCTGCCCGGGAGGGCCAGCTCCTTCCCGCCACCACGGCCCCCCTGGGCCCACCTTCTTCCGCCAGCAGGATGGGCTGCTGCGGGGTGGCTATGAAGCACAGGAGCCGCTGTGCCCAGCTGTGCCCCCCAGGAAGACTGTTCCTGGCACCACCTTCACCTACATCAACGAGGACTTCCGGACAGAGTCACCCTCCAGCCCCAGCAGTGACATTGAGGATGCCCGGGAGCAACGGGCACGAAATGCCCACCTCCGCGGCCCCCCACCAAAACTCATCCCTGTCTCCGGAAAGCTAGAGAAGGTGAGGACCAGCCCTTCCTTTGGGGCCTGGGTGGAATCAGGAGCCCCCTGGAGAAGCTGGAGGAATTTACAGGTCTGTTTAGAGAAAGCAGCGTGGGCTCAAAATTCACTAGACCTGAGTTCTAATCCCAGCTCTTTCTCATTCTCGCTATATGACCTCAAGGAAGTCACTTAACTTTTCTGAGCCCATTTCCCTATCTGTGAAATGGAGGTGATAGGTCAGCTTTTACAAGTTTGTTGTGAGAATTAAATAATTTACGTGAAGTGCTTAGCCTCATACTTGGCATGTTACTGTGTACTCAATAAATGCTAGCTACTTGAAAATACTGTTGTTATACAACAGCAGTGTGTTGGACTTAGAGCAAGGCCTTTAACTCTGCTGAGCCTCCATTTCTCCATCTGTAATATGGGGAGAGTCATAATATTTTTGCTCATATAGCTGTCGTAATGAATAGAGATGAACCTTTTAAGTTACTTGACGTAAAGCTGACACTCAGGAGGCCATCAGTTAGTGGTAGCCATTGTTAATAATACATGGGGATGGGAGACCCCAGATGGGAAGACAGGGAGTATGATAAGGGCTTTGAAATATTGGGCCGCTCACCCCCAGCGTCACATGGCACCTCATTTCAGAACATGGAGAAAATCCTGATCCGCCCAACAGCCTTCAAGCCAGTGCTGCCCAAACCTCGAGGGGCACCATCTCTCCCCAGCTTCCTGGGTCCTCGGGCCACCGGACTGTCTGGGAGCCAGGGCAGCCTAACACAGCTGTTCGGGGGCCCCGCCTCCTCCTCCTCTTCCTCCTCCTCCTCAGCTGCCGACAAACCTTTGGCACTGAGTGGCTGGGCCAGTGGCTGCCCATCAGGGACGCTGTCCGACTCCGGCCGAAACTCACTGTCCAGCCTGCCCACTTACAGCACTGGGGGCGCTGAGCCGGCCACCAACTCCCCAGGCGGGCACCTGCCCTCCCATGGCCCTGGGCGGGGGGCACTGCCGGGGCCAGCCCGAGGAGCCCCTACTGGGCCCTCCCACTCGGACAGTGGCCGATCGTCCTCCAGCAAGAGCACAGGCTCCCTGGGCGGCCGCGTGGCTGGAGGCCTCTTGGGCAGCGGTCCCCGGGCCTCCCCTGACAGCAGCTCCTGTGGGGAGCGCTCCCCACCGCCACCGCCACCCCCTCCACCCCCTTCGGATGAGGCCCTGCTGCACTGTGTCCTGGAAGGGAAGCTCCGCGACCGTGAGGCAGAGCTGCAGCAGCTGCGGGACAGTCTGGACGAGAGCGAGGTGACCATGTGCCAGGTGTGGTCAGTAGCAATAATGGGGGTGGCATGGCAGGACACCCAGAGGTGCTGGGAATCTAAGGAGCATTCCCCTCTGCTCCAGGGTGGGGGCAAGTGGCGGGCAGTAGCACCTGTGGCCCCATTCCCACCCGGGTGTCTGGCTTCACTGCAGAGCGGTGAGGACTCAGATCTACTGCCATTTACGTGTTCTTTCTAAGCCTCACCCATAAATGGGGATATTTTTGTTTTAGAATTACGCAGATTAAGTAAGGCAAAGTGTGTAAAGTGTTTAGAATAATGCCCGGCACCTAAGAGGTGCTACATAAGTGCTTGCTGTTACTGTTGTTGTTTCTGTTATCATAAAAGTAGTCGTTACTGTTGTCATACTGTTTTCGTTGTTTAGTGGAATCTAGCTGCCCAAAGCCCCCCAGTGGGCCACCCGAGTAGCCAGTGACTGCAGGTGGCTAGGGCTCGAGGATTGGGGGAGCCACCAAGACCCAAGTGTACCTTCTTGCCCACAGGCGTACGAAGATCGACAACGGCACTGGCAGCGGGAGCGTGAGGCCCCGCGTGAGGATGGTGCGGCCCAGGCGCAGCGGGCCCAGCGGGCCCAGCAGCTGCTACAGCTGCAGGTGTTCCAGCTGCAGCAGGAGAAGCGGCAGCTGCAGGACGACTTTGCACAGCTGCTGCAGGAACGTGAACAGCTCGAGCGGCGCTGTGCCACCTTTGAGCGGGAGCAGCGGGAGCTCGGGCCACGGCTTGAGGAGACCAAGTGGGAGGTGGGTGAGACCGGGAGGGGTGAGGAGCAGGGTCCTGCAGGAACAACCCCTAGAAAGAGGGGCCCAGCCATACCCCCTGAGCCTGCCAGCCCCAGAGGCCTCACCTTTGTGAGATGAGAATCCCCCTCTGGCCTCCTTTACTGGGACAGAGCCTCCTTGTGCCTTCATGTTTGGTCTCATTAGTCTGGTCTAGGGCCCATAGCCAGTGGCATTCCCACCGGCTGCCTTCTAGCCAATAAGAATGTAGTGCTTGCTATGCACCAGGCACTATTCTAGGCGTGTGGCATAGACTATGTATCATCTAATCTTCATTATCAGCCCTGTGAGGTGGGTATTGTTAATACCCCCATTTTAGAGACGCAGAAACCGAGGCCTGGAAAGGCTGGAGCCCAAAATTATACCCAGTCCATGGCAGAGTTGAGGTTTGAGCCCAGGCAATCTGACTCTTCGTTTATGCCGTTAACCAAAATACTGTAGTGCCTCCCAGCTGGAAATGTGGGCACTGCCCTCAGCTGCTTCCACTCCTGCAAAACCTACCATCACCCATTCCCTAGAGCCCTGGGGTTTAAAGACAACACTTTAAAGCAAAAATATCTGGGTCTGTATCCTACTTTAGCCGCTAAGTAGCTGTGTAACCTTGGACATGTCACTAGGCTCACCTCAGTGTCTCCATCTGTAAAATGGGGGTAATAATCAAACTTCCTCTCCACCAAATGTCCAGCGTGATGTCAGGGCCTGACCCTCTGGGAGAACCCTTCTCACCACCCTTGCTTCCTACCACCAGGTGTGCCAGAAGTCAGGCGAGATCTCCCTGCTGAAGCAGCAACTGAAGGAGTCTCAGGCAGAGCTGGTGCAGAAGGGCAGTGAGCTGGTGGCCCTGCGGGTGGCCCTGCGAGAGGCACGGGCAGCGCTGCGGGTCAGTGAGGGTTGGGCACGGGGTCTCCAGGAGGCGGCGCGAGCACGGGAGCTGGAGCTGGAGGCCTGTTCCCAGGAGCTGCAGCGGCACCGCCAGGAGGCTGAGCGGCTGCGGGAGAAAGCTGGGCAGTTGGACACCGAGGCGGCTGGACTCCGGGAACCTCCTGTGCCACCTGCCACTGCTGACCCATTCCTCCTGGCAGAGAGTGACGAGGCCAAGGCACAGCGTGTGGCAGCCGGCGTGGGAGGCAGCCTGCGGGCCCAGGTGGAGCGGCTGCGTGCCGAGCTGCAGCAGGAGCGGCGGCGGGGCGAGGAGCAGAGGGACAGCTTCGAGGGGGAACGGCTGGCCTGGCAGGCCGAGAAGGAGCAGGTGATCCGCTACCAGAAGCAGCTGCAGCACAACTATATCCAGATGTACCGGCGGAACCGGCAGCTGGAGCAGGAGCTGCAGCAGCTGAGCCTGGAGCTGGAGGCCCGGGAGCTCGCTGACCTGGGCCTGGCCGAGCCAGCCCCTTGCATCTGCCTAGAGGAGATCACTGCCACCGAAATCTAGGGCCCTTGGGGTCCCAGCTCTGCAGGGAGCTCTACTGAAAGGGAACAGTAGCCTCAGGTCCACTGAGGTCTCCAGGGCCACTTGTCCCCTGGGATCCAGGACTCTGGGCCTCTGTCAGGTACCCAGGGCTGTTCTATGACTTGGATGAGCAAGATCAGACCCCTCGAAGGTCCCTGTGTTCGCTGTCACCCAGAGGCTCCTCATTTGACCTGTTTCACTCCCCACCTGTTGCCAGTGCCACTCCGCCAGCCCCGTTCACCCTAGATGCTCACCAGGTCAGCCAGCCAGGGCCTGGGGAGAGGAAGGGGCTGCTTCCTCACCTCCACACTTCCCCCCACTCCACAGCCAGAGAGAGCCAGGCAGCAGCAGCTGCTCCAGATGTGCCTGCCCCCACCCTGCCCTGTTGGGGGACAGGGCTGGGACTGGGGTCTGATCCCCAGCTTCCAGCTCTGCAGCCTCTCCCTGGTGGCGAGGGGGCTGTAGTCAGACCAAAGGAAGAACTCACAAATGTCTTGTTTAATGTGACCAAGTGGCCCTCCCAACACCCTGGTTTATGGCCTCGTTTTCACGTGTATATTTTTTACACTGTAAATTTGTTGTACAAACCCAAAGAAAAAAATTAAAAATTTTTGTTTTGTTTTTAAAAAAAGGAGTGTGCTGGGTAAAGATTATGGGAACCCTCCCCCACCCCCTTTATTTGCCAGCTATTCCCTTACCCCTTACAGAGGTCTTAGGGGGAGAAAGGGAGATGGGGAAAGGACAAATCCAGTAGAAAAGCTGAGGCTGGTGGGCCACAACATGAAATGGTCTCAGGGTTTGAGAAACTAGAAAAGACTTCTATTGCTTGCACAGAACACTGCTTGGGGTTAGGGGGTGGATGTGAGGGCTGCATCCCAGAGTCCAGGTCCCTCAGTGCTTGGGAGAGTCAAAGGGGGCATCATGAGATGCTGCCCACCAATCCCAAGTTCCAGACCCTGCGTTTCTAGACCTCCTTTCTGTCTCGAGAGGTTAGGAGCAGTGAATGGGTGACACAGGCTGCCCAGTAGCACCTTGTCCTTGACACAGTTTGTCTGGAAAGGGCAGAGCCTTAGTGACAGCTGGGGACAGAAGAAAGCAGGGAGATCTGAGCCACCAGTGTGGAGCTCTGGGGGAGTCAAGGCAAGCAGGAGTGGGAGGTTCCCGGGTCAGAAGATTAGTGGCGGGGGGCGAGGGGGCAGGAGGATTCCAGGGTCAGTGGGAGGGTCTGCTGTCAGTGGGGTTAGTTGTGGGATAGGTAGGCAGAGTCTGGGGTTAGAATCAGGAGTCGAGGGGTTGGAGAGGGGACTGGGCTGGGCGCCAGCTGGAGGAGCCCAGTACCAGTGGGAGCAGTCTGGGTACCGTTGGGAAGGGCCTTGCGAGGTTCTGGAAGCCAGTGGGAACACCATCGAGGGGTCAGCGGGCAGGGGAACGGTCCGCAGGAAGGAGTCGATCGGTGGGGGCTGATGAGTCGGAGGGTAAGGGTGGTGGGCCAGGCCCGGGGACCCTGACCACAAGCTCCATGGGCTCCCGCGACTTGTTTCGATAAGCCCGGCGAATGGTGTCCACTGCTCGCTGGTGTGTCACCTTCTCCAGGCTCTCTCCATCCACTGCCACAAGCTCGAAGCCAGCCTGGGACGGGAGTGGGAGAATCAGCCCTCCCTGCTCAGGTCACCCTCTACCCCAGCATCCGACTTCTCACCTCCACCAGCTGGGACACTCCTCCCCTTCCAGATGGAGAGGATGGACAATGGGACTTTTGTGCCTGGAGCTATTGGGGGCTGGGTGGGGCACAGACAATGGCCCTTTGTCCCTTGGGGCAAGGGGTGGAACAGGATGGGCCGCCCTCAGGCCCAGGCTGGCATGAGGGCACAGATTCTTCCCTGGCTTGCTGACCTGACCCCCCTCCTCCCACGACTTGGCCTAAACACGCCTGGCCAGCAGATGAGCTTGTACCAGCCTGCCCCCGCCAGAATGAGCTCGGGGCGGGGGGCGGAGGGCGTGGGCCTGGGCGCACTTCACCCACCTGCAGGGCCCCACTGAGGAAGGCGGCCCCCCCAGGGAAGATCTTTTCTATCTTCACCATGGGCTGCACCTTGGACTCGATGCCCCCCGAGATACTGATGCCTAGTGAGAGTGAGAAACACAGGGTGAGAATATACCACACCCCTAACACCCGGAGGTCCCAGGATAGACCCAGGGCCCAATCCTCACATCTGGGACCCCCAACTTTTTCCAGATCCCAATTCTGTCACTACTCAATCTTCAACTCCAAAATCCTCTAGAGCGCAAAGCCCCAAAATCTAGACCCTATCCCCAACTATACCCTAATACCCGGGTTCTTCTCCGAGGCCCAGTTCCCCTAGTCACTTCCCAAAGTCAAACGCACCAACCTTATCCAAACCCAGCAGCCCCTGCCAGGCCCAGTCCCACTCAGACTCACCCAAGGACTGTTTCATCTTGGACAGCGTGACTGTCCTCAGCTCCCCACTGGGGGCCTTTGCGGCCACTTGCTGGGCTGTCCTGCCAGTTCCATTCTCGGAGGACCCTTGGCTGTCCCCTGCCTTGGCTACCTGCCCATCCAGAGGTCTTGGCAGAGGGGGCCTGGCCTTCCGAGGCTTGTGGTAGCGCCCGTTGGCTATGCTGGGGGTGGGGATAGGCGCCGGGGATGGGGAGCGCCTGCGTCCAGGGGACTTGCCTCGGCTGCGACTGCGGCTGCGACTGCGGCTGTGGCTGCGGCTACGGCTGCGGCTGCGGCTCTGGGCCAGGCCTGGGCTCTGGTTCTGGCTCTGAAGAGGGTCTTCTCGGGTCAAGGGTTCTGTCAGCAGCCAGTTAGGCCTCGGGGGCCGGGGAGCAACGGGGGGCGGCTGGGGAGGGGGTGTGCAGGTGCTTCGGCGTGGGGCAAAGGCATCTACTGGCACGTCTTGGAGAGGGGGTATCCCTTTATGAGAGTGGCGGGGGGCAGAAGCACCCAGAGAGACCTGGAGGTCCCCCAGCCGCTCCCTCAGCTCCCCATCATCTTCCTCCTCAGGGAAGCCATTCACAGGCAGCAGGTAGAAGCCTCCACGGCTGTCTGGGGAAGAGGGTCAAGGTCAGGCTGCCCCCCTCCTCGCTAGCCCAGACAACCTTGCCAGGTCCCAGACGCTGCCTTTGCTCCTGTAGGGCCTAGGAGACCCAGGCGTGGGTTTGCTCAGGCCCTGTGGCAGCTTTCCCCACAGCGAGGGACACTGCCATGTTCCATTGTCGTAGTATTTAATACTTTCTATTGTAATAGTTACAGTTTCATTTTAATGTGTCTAAGGAAAAATATGACTCACACACCAAACTGGTAATTTCTTGGCAATTATTGCACAGAATGAGACTAGATTTAAAGAGTGAGTGGGTTTAAAGCCAATTATTATTAAAGAACAGTGGTCAGCGGATGTGACAGGAATGGTTCTGAGGGATGAGGGCTTTCCTTCAGGGAACCACACATGCCTCTGAGCCACAACACCACAGCCCCTGGGGCAGGGACGAAAGGAGGCCTGTTCTCCCTGCCCCAGTCCCCCAGGGGTGTGCCCGCCCTGGGCTCTGGGACTCTGACTGACCAGGCACAGGGGTGATGAGGTGACGCTTGGGCGGTGTGTCTTGCCGCGCTGGTCGCAAAGCAGGAGGCCGTGCTGGTTGGAGAGAAGAGGTCAGCAGCAAGGCCCTGCTGCCAGGCTCCCTGAAGGACACAACTGAGAGGGCTCTGCCCCCTTTCCAGTGGGATATGCCACACACAGCCCCACCTGGGGTTCAGGATCCACAAGTCCCGCCCCCCAGCTGCTGACCTGCCTGGCTCTTGAGGGCCTCAAAAGCCTCCAGCTCCACAGGCATCACCATGCTGTCGAAGCGGCCCAGGTCTGTGGGGGCTACCACGCTCCTGGGGGAGGGCAAGACGGGGTGAGCAAGGACTCAGCTCTGGAGCTGCTGGGAAGCTGTGCTTCAGTCCTGAGAAGGTTAGGGGAGGTATCAGGGGTCCCCCTCCTGCCTAAATCCCTTCCTACAACCCCCTCCCCACCTGATGTCCCGCAGGAGCAGCAGCTTCGCGGGCTTGTCCAGAATGGCCAGCAGGGGCCTCACCAGGTCCTCCACGCCGCCCTCATGCACGTACTGCAGAAAGAGGCACCACAGGTCAGACAGCAGCAGAGGCTTCCAGAGCTGGGCCAAGGGGAATGCCTGGGTATGTCTCCACCCCCCACATTTAGGAAAGGCTCTCCCCATCCCCCAGCTGTCCACAGCATGTCTTGTCTTGGTAACCAGGTGGAAGCTTGCAACAAGGATAACAAACTTGTAGTAGCAAAAACAGCACTGACAGCTTTGGGACCGGCACTTTTCTAAGCCTCTTACACATGTCTCTCATTTAGCAACCACACTGAGAGAGGACATTATTTATTACTGGTTTGCAGATGAAGAAACCAAGGCTCAGAGAAAAGGACTTTGCCAAGGCCACACAGATAAGGAGTTATGAAGAGGGACTGAAACCTGAGAGGCCTGGCTCCTGCCTATTCTGTACCGGAAAAGGATGTGCAGGGAGTGGACTCTCCTCCCCACCCCCATCTTCCAAGCAGAAGGAAGGAATTTGAGCCAAACACTAGGCTGTGGGCCTGGCTGGGCCAACATTTGTCTGTACACAGACCTACAAATTAGGCTTTGTTCAGGGCTGGACCGGGGACCTTGGGGACTGGGTGGCCCTACAGAAAGCCTCTGCAGTCAGCACTCAGGGTGGTGGAGGCCTTTCTGCCTGGCACTGCCCGGATGCCACCAGCCACACGCCACCTACGCAGACAAATTGGCAAACTGAACGCTGGGAGCCACTATAAGGGACAGCATACCGCCCCCTGGTGATGAAAGGGAGACATGTACTGATTCAGGGACACAAATACAGCGTCCTGTAGGGGCAGAGACACAGAGAAAGAGCATGCCCTGGTGGTCAGAGCGAGACAGTAAAAAATATCTGGAAATAAATAAAAGATAAACTTGTGTGTGCGGCCCTAAACCACACACAAAATTACAGGGACTCACACATACACATATCGACAGTACACCCCCAGATAGTCATATGTGTGCACATATTTCAAGTTCACAAACCTGCATTCAGCACCCACTAAATGCCAAGCTGTGCACTGGAGGGTGACAGTAGGGACACGATTATGAAGACTCTGTTCCAGATCTTCAGGAACTCAGTCTGGTGGGAATGAGGGGCAGAATGACCCATTTGCCCCAATTAACTAAAAACCACTGGCAGGGAGTCTCAGAGGAGGGTGGGAAGATCCAAGTAGGCTTCATGGAAGCAGTGGAATTTACACTGACTTTTTTTTTTTTTTAATACACTGGCTCTTAAGGATAAAGTCAGGGATCAGCAAAAGTTGGGAGAAAGGGGCTCTGAGGGCGATGTGGAATAACCAGTAGATAGAAGTTTAACGATCACCGGTCACATAAAGGGCCTCCATGTGGGCTGCGCAGGTTGTGACTACAGTGTGCATAGTGCCTCTGAAGCCATGCAATTCATCACCCGTATCCACCTCTGTGGTGCCCGGGGGAAGGTGATGACGTGGCGCTGTGGCGACTGTGGGAAAGCTGAGGTTAGCGGGCCGGGGAGTCAGATCAGGGAAGGCCTGGAGTGGGAGAATGAGGACTTGTACTCCATTCTGTCAAAGAGGTTCCAAGGGGGCTTGGGGAGTGTGCCGCGGTCAGAGAGGCAGTTTATAATGCCTGATTTGTGGCTGTGGAGAGCTGGCCAAGAAGCGGAGAGAAACGAGGTTCAGCGCCACACATCAGAATCACTAGGGAAGTTTTACTCATCTTTCAGCCCACCCCAGACGGTCTGATCTCTTGGTGTGGGTAGGGTTTGGGTCAGGTTTGGGCGGTATTCCCAGCTCCCCAGGTGCTGAGGGGACATATTGAGAAGCCTTCCAGCTTGGGTGGGGTAGGCGGAGCTGAAGGACAAGGGAAAAAGAGCCAATAGAGAGACACACAGAGCCCCATCTAGTGGCCACAGCCCAGAGTTGCAGGCCTCTGGAGGCTGGTACACACAGCTCCACTTAGCGCTGTGAGCTGAGAAGGACCCTGATTTTAGCCCAAAGGCCCTTAGCTGTCCCCAGCAGGCACCCTGTCACAGGGGGCCCTTCTGTAACCAGGCCTTGGTAAAGGGATGCATGAATTACCACATCTCCAGTCTCCGGGGGACACATATATGCCTTAGCCAGATACACACACATTCGCTCACAGATATAACCATATAGTTAAGTTGACATAAACCCAGGTACCCCACAGGCAGACAAATACACACGTCACACAGACATACAACACAGCCCCACCCTTACCAAGGTGAGGGAGTGGGGGGATCTGCAAACGATTTCCTGAAACTCTCAGGCTGCCCTTGCGCACAGGCTCACATGTGCACTGACGTAGATTCATCACAGGGAGCCCATCACAGAAACCTGGAGGTTCTTGAGAGAGTGGGAAGCCCTAGATACTGGAGAAGGCCTTCCAATCCTCCTGGAAGGCGTGGCCTGTGCCTCCTGTAGTCTCCCCAGCATTCAGGCTACAAAGACCCTCAAATCCAACCTCTGCTTCTCCCAGGGCCCCCTGGCCTGTTTCAAGTAGAAGGGAACAGAGAACAACAGCGTAGGAGCTGGGGAGGTTTGGGCTGAGTGTATGCGCATGCACTCAGGGAGAGGACAGGGATTACTTGCTTGTGCCAGGCCTGTTGGCTGACCCGGGAGCAGAAGGAGGCGTGGGGATGGGCTGGGGTTTAAAGGAGAATGGAGGCAGGTGACAGCAGGGCCTCATGTCCCCCAACTCACCCCCTGTCTGACCCCTTCTCTCCTCAGCTTGAATACCACCTCCTTAAGGAAGCCCTCCCAGACCACATCTAATGTGCGCCTCTTGGATTATTTCCCCATGTTCTTTTCCTTCTCGGCACTTCGCGTGATTTGTCACTATGGGTGTCCAGGTTCTAGTTATTATCCAATTCCCCCTTCCTGGTTGTGAGCTCAGTGTGTAGGTGTCTGTGTGTATGTGTGACAGGGGTGACTTCTGCTTTTAGTGACCACTGGTCTCAGAGTGTTGAACCCAGATACCGGTCAGCAGACAACAGTCTGAATGAATGACGGCCTGGGTGGCGGAGTGACCGTGTGCTGGGGCTGGGGGCGGGCTGGAGGCTCACCCGGGAGCAGTGGCGGGTGATGGCCAGCACCTCGTCGTCAGTCAGCAGCCGCCGGGCCAAGTCCTGAATGAGGGGCCGTCGGCTCTCCCAGGCCTGCACCTGCTCATCCACATTGGGCAGCTGGCTGGAGGGGCTCCCAGACCTGGCAGAAAGCAGGGCCCGGCCCCTCTCCCGGTCTGCAGGGCAGGAGCAAAGGGATATGATGAAGGAGCCTGGAGCCATCGGGAGAGGAGGTAAGGGCTTCCCTCAAGTGGGATCAGACCCCAGGACTGGCTGGCTGAGAGGCCCAGGTGCCCCTGACGGAGTCCTGGCCTAGCCCAGGTGCTCCCCTCCATGGTCTCCCATAGTGCTCTGCCCACCGGTGGAGCTCTGCCCCCCGCCCATCCGCCCCCCAACACAGACCCTCTATACAGTCTATTCCTTAATGGATTTCTGGCCTAGGGGTCCCTGGGTCTCTAAACATTCACTGTCATGCTAGTCTTGTCCCCAGTGGAGCTCTCACACAGGCTTTCTCATCTCCCCCAAATCTGTCTTTGGGAGTCAAGCTCCCCAGTCCTCAAAAATATACCCCATTATATCCCTGCAGCCCTACCTTTCCTAGTCCAGTTCTTCCAGCCGCCCCCAATGTGCACCTCCGCATCCGCCTGATTCCGCATGCGTGATCTCAACGGAGTTTAGCCCAAAGTCCCATAGCTGCCCCCAGCATGCACCCCATCAACAGCTCCACTGTAAAGCAGGCCTTGGTAAAGAGGTGCATGAATTACCGCGTCTCAGCCTCCAGGTGACAAACTTCTGCACAGGTCCCACTCCCCCTGCTAAGAAGAAGAAGGCTCAGCAGCAGGCCCTGGCCCCAACCTGAAATGCAGTTGGGGTGTTTAGGGCTGATGGGTTGGAATGGAGAGTTCAGGCTGGAAGGAGGTAGACGAAGAGGCAAGAGGCCAGGCCATGCTCACGCTAAGGGTTTTGTTTATAGGCAATGGTGAATCATTGAAGGTTTAGGATCAAGAGAGGGTGCAGTCTGAGCTCTGCATATAGAGATTCATTTGGAAGCAAATGTACAGAGGCAAGAACCCTAGGGACAAACCTGAGGGGAGCACCTACCTTCAGTGGACAAAGAGAAAAAAGAGAGCCTTTGAAGGAGAGAGAGGAGTGGCCATAGAGGCAGGAGGAGATCCAGGGAGCAGCAGGGCCCCCAGGGCTGCGGAAAGAGAGACGGGTTGAGGAAGAGAAGTCGGCTTGCCCTTATGTGAAGAGATTATCTCTCACATGGGGCTGTCACCTTGAGACCCCAGGGAGGGGTAGGGCCCGGGTCCTCACTCTCTGGCTGTTTTTGCCTACCTAACATCCACTCTCACGTCTGGAACAGCACCTTGATTTCACTTGGGGACCCCCATTCTCAGTGCATGTACCCCAGGGTGGGCACCTACCCCAGGGTGGGCACATACCCTAGCTGGTTGATAAAAGCCTTTCTCCCTCGCGCATCACAGTAATTTGTTGGACATGTGGCCCCAGCTGGGCCAATGAGAGCCTGGGACTTCAGCTGGGACTAGTTAAGGAGAAACTCTCTTTTCCTTGTGTTGCTAAGCAACAGTGGCCATCTTAGCTCTAGTGGGCAAAACCTGCATGATAATGAAGCCAACCTGGGGAAAGGCAACCAAAAGATGAAGGGGCAGATGTCTGATAAGACTGTTTAGATCTTCAGATCCAGCCTTAATCAGTAGCTGAGCCAAGAAGTGCTTTTCAAAGCTAGTTTGGGTTGAGTTTCTGTCACAGGCAATCCCAAGAGTCAATTCATCTAATCTTGGTCCAGTCTCTGAGCCTCCCCTGGGAGAGGCGAGGCCTGTGTGAGGGTCCTTAGGAAGCCCTTGACATGAGTGAAGCCTGCCCAGGCCCTTCTGCCTGTGCCCTGACTTAGAAATGGTTTTGCTCAAGGATGATTCTAGAACTGGGTAAGGCCTGTGAAATTCTGGCCAAGGGAGATGAAGCCAAATATTCTAGGAAAAGAATGTCCTTCCCTCTCCTCAGCACCAAGAGCTCATGGATCAGACCCAAGGTCTTCCACTTCCTTCTGTGCTGGGACTCTATCAGTTTTCCCTTCTGTAAAGTGGGTAGATGAGGCAGTATAACAATGACCACTACATTTTCTGGCGTACCTGATGTGTGGCAGACAATACCCTAAGCGATAAACACACACCAGTTCACTTATTCCTCACTGTTCCTACAGACATAGGTAATATTACTCTGATTTTACTCATGGGGAAACTGAGGCTCACAGGGTGGAGTGGTCGTCACTCACAGCTAGTAAGAGGCAGTATGGGACTGGATGCCAAAGTGGACTTTTCCTCCGTCCTCCCTGTCTGACTAGCCCAGCCCTTACCTTTCTCCATGTCCAGGCGCGGACGGGGCTTGGCTGGGCTCCCTCTCTCCAGCGTCCAGGCCTCTCTGTGCCCGTCCTCTGCCAGCCGCCCCTGCCGCCCTCCCTTGAAGAAGAGGTTCATCAGTGTCTTGGAGCGCTGCAGGGCCCCCTTCTCCCCAGAGGACCCCGACTTCTCCTTCTTCCGCTGCTTCTTCTCCTCTGCAGACACGAGGGAGCACCCAGGGGGCTGGAGGGGTGGGCAGAAGGGAAGGACCAGGGCCAGGGGTGTGGGCGGGGCAGAAAGAAGGGAGAGTAGGGGGGCAGACAGGATCCGGAGCTGTGTGGGGAGGTAGGGATAGGGGTGGGGGTCCTCCTCCAATTTTTCATCCCGCTTCATCCCATAACTACAGCTATGTGAGGAATACATGAGGGCTGGGGTGTGTGTGTGTGTGTGTGTGTGTGTCCGCAGAGACAAGCCTGGGAACTCCAGGCTGGAGAGAGCTTGGCTAGGGCTTTTTGGGAGCCCAGAGCTGACTGGAGCTGGGGGGCTGGGACTGAGAGTGGGTTTGAAGCCCGGGACTAATTTAAAAAGTGGACCAGAACAGGGTCTGAGTATATTCTGGGGCTGAGGCTGGGTCAAGGCCTGGGGCAAAGGAAAGTTTGGGGCTCACGAAAGGGTCTAAGGGAGGTTTTGGTCCAGGGGCTTTGGAGAGTAAAACAGCCATTCATCTCCCACGTACCCCACAAAGTCAGGTGGCTCTGGGAGCGGGTGATGGGGGGCCGAGGTCGGCTGAGGGCCAGCAGCAGAGCAGTCTTGGGGGACTCAGAGAGAGCAGAGTCAAGGCGGCGGGCAGCCGAGGGTCCGTCGGAGCGGATGGCTGTGTCCCTGAGGATGACTGTGGGCCGCACGCTGCACCAGGTCTCCACGCGGCCCCCCACGTCGGGGTCTGTCTGCATGGCTGTGTCTGCCCGCCCCCAGCCTGGGCCGCGGCTGCCCGGCTCCTCTGGCCCCAGACAGATATCCATGCGGTCGGAGGGCAGGGAGCCGGAGCCCTCAGCGGAGCTGTAGGGGGCGCTGGAGGCGTACGAGGAGACGCTGGAGCTGCTCTCAGAGGCCTGGGACAGCTGCTGCAGTACCCCGTTACTCACTGCGGGCAGTGGGGAAGGCAGGGGTGTCTGGGGGCCTGCCCGGGTTGCTTCAGGGCCCTGCCAGGCTTGCAGACCACCCCTGAGCTTGCGGGTTTGGAGAGCATCTGGCCACAGCCAAGGTTGGAAGCATGGGACCTGGGGACCCAGCTGCTCAGCATCTGGCCAGCAGGATGAGACCCTGGGGAAGTCACCCTTCCTCCAAGTACCCCTTTGGGACTCCAGGCCCTAGGAGAGGCTGCAATGGAAGCTGCAACTTCTCAGAGGAGAGCCCAGAAACAGCCTGGGCAGTGTGAAAATCCCAGTAAGGCCTTGGTCCTCCGGCCCATCTATCCCTCAACCTTGGGGGCCTGAGACACTTACGTCGATCCAGCCAACAGTACTCGGAAACCATCTCCTTGTATGCAGGGTACCGGCCAGTCTCCTGGGGGAGGGCATGGTGGGCAGAAGCAGGCAGGGGAGTGGGCCAGAAGGGAGAGTAAGAGTGGGGAGTGGTGGCACAAGAGTTCGTTTTCAACCCGACACTCTTCTTCCTCATGCTCTAGCTACATGGGCACTTTATTTCTGACCATCTGAAGTTCCTCTATACCTCAGGGCCTTTGCACTTGCTGCTCCTTCTGATTGGATTCTCTTCCTTCAGTTCATCTTGTAGCCAACTCCTTCTCCCTCTTCAGGTGTCACCTCCTCAGACAAGCTTGCTCTGACTTCTCCACCCCAGCTAAAGGAGTCTTCCTAAATTACCTCATCCCATCTCTCTGTTAATTTCCTTATAGCCTTTGTCACAATCTGCATGCATTCTATTTGTCTGTCTCCCCCCAGTAGAAGAGACCTGGTCTTGTTTGCTGTTGTAACCTCAGTACCTGGCATAGCGGCCATCACATAGTAGATACTTAAAAATGTTGAATGAATGAATACATAAATGAATGGATGAATGAATGGCAGGGTGGTGGTAAGGAGGAGACTCTGGGATCATTTGAGAGGAAGGAAAGGCAGAAACGGAATGTGGGAGAGGTGGGAAATAGAGGCGGCGGGGGACAGGGAATGGGGGAGGAGGCCCTGAATGTGAAATGGGTGAGAGGCTTGGAGAAGGGCAAAGGGTGGAGCAGGGACCAGGGTGAGGCCCTAGGGAGAGTGAGGCATCGCATCCTTCAGCAGCTAGAGTGAGAAGGACCTGATCCTCGGACAAGTGTGAGGCCCACATAAATAATAGATCCAGCCACCTCCCCTGAAACCCAATCTCTGGCCGCAGCCCAGCTCTCCTTGCCCTGCACCCTAAGAATGCCCACCATCTAGGTCCACCCAAAGCCACAGCTGCCACCCCACCCTTCTGAGAGGGACATTTTTTCCTTTTAATCCTCGGCCTCCACCACTCACAAGAAGGGGCACTGCCCTAGCATCTGAGGAGCAGGCCCGGAACCAGGTCCTGCTACTGAGTGGCAGAGTAATTGCCTATGGATCCTCAGTTACTTTTCCTCTCTGAGCCTCAGTTTCTTCTTCTGCAAAATGGGAACAGTGCCTGCCCAACCTCTCACATGGCTGAGAAAAAGTCAAATTGCAGAGTAACGGGCATAATTAAGTACTAGAATGCTCTAGGAAGTCCTTCCTACAGTCTGGCCTCTCCCCATCCCCCAAAGTTCTGCCCACCTTGATGGTCAACATGATGTGTGTTTGGCCCTTCAGCACCTCCACGGCCTGGCTGTGGCTGATGTCGTCGAACCTGACACCATTGGCCGCCAGGACCTGGTCTCCCACCTTGATGCCGTTCTCCTCGGCCAGCCCACCGTGGTCCACTCTGGGGTCAGAGAGGCAGCGGTCTGGTGGGCCCCCTGGCCTGCCCTCCCTCACGCCATTTCAGACTCTCTTCACTTGGTTACAGGGATGCCCCCATCAAACTCCCTGACCCTCCCCTTGGTGACCCCCGTCCCCCTCTGCAGGTCCCACCCCTGACCTAGGCCCTCGTTTGAGTGTGTAGTTGGCCAGGCCTCGCTTGCCGCCCTATCCCCAGGTCCCCGCCCAGGCCCCACTCCAAGTCCCATTCCCGGCCCTACCCACTTCATTCCCCGCCCGGGCCTCACTTGGACACGTAGATGCCCAGGCCAAACTCCTTTCCCCCGCGGATGTTGAAGCCCAGGCAGAAGTCGTCAGAGGTCGTGTAGAGGTGAACGATGCGCCGCACACCATCCTCTGAGCTGCTTTCTGACGGTGTTGAACTGCACTTCTCCACGACCAGCCGCCGATTCACCACGTCCACCCTGGTGCAGCGGCCGGGAGTGCTCAGCCTGGGCCCCCACCTGCTACCACCCACTCCCTCCCCCCAGCAGCCCCACAACTGCATGGGAAAGGCGGGGCTGCCTTTGGGGGACTTCCCAGGCATAAGAGCTTCAGTGGGACATAAATTAATCAAATCTGGGAAATCATCCTACTCTCCTTTTTTATCGAGCAGCTACAATGTGCCAGACCCGTCTCCAATCCCCATAGGCCCGTGAGGGAGCGGTGTTGTCACTGCGTTAGACTCGCAGCAGCAGCGTGGGGACCAGGGCCTCTGGAGTCTGGGAAAGCAGAGCTCTGGGGAGGAGGACCTGGGGAGAGACATGCCCTGTTCTCATTTCAAGGGCAGGCCTGAGGCTCCCCGTGGTTCCAGCCCCGGGAGTTGGGAGGAGCAGAAGCCGTCCTAGCCAAGCCCGGGCAGAGCCCGGGCCCTTAGCCTCTCTGCCTTGCCTTTGGGTGGGGGTGCCGGGGTGGGCAGCGCAGGCCTTCTCACCATGTGGTCTTCTCCTTGGAGAACTTGATGCCGGGTACGCGGCCCATGCGCCTCACCATCATGTGCAGGCGGCTGCTGCCTGTCAGGACCTTCACGGCACTGCCCATGGTGGTGCTCTCCAGGCTCAGCCCATTCACCTCTGTGATCTTGTCCCCCACGCACAGGCCGGCGCGCTCTGAGCAAGGGAGAGGGGTGGCTGGCACGGGCCGCTTGGGAGGAGTCCTCCAGCTCCAGTGTGAAGCTGAGCCCCATCAGACCGGGCTCCTCGGGGTAAAACTTCTTCCCTGAGATTGGGGATCCCCAGGTCGAGTCTGAGTGTCCCATATCAGACAAGGGACCTGTCCGGTAGCCTGCTGTGCCCTGGGAAAGGGCCCCGTCTCCCCATCAGATCAGGCCCTCCAAAGCTAAGGGCGCTTCCTCCCAACCATGACAACAACACCTCTGTACCCCACTGAGTTGAGGTCACATACATCCCCCAGGACCCCCCCTCTTGGGGCCCTGCTCACCTGCGCTGCTGCCCTCCTCGACCTTGCTGACGAAGATGCCCAGGCCGTGCTCAGAGCCGCCCCGCACACTGAAACCCAGCCTCCCTGCCGGGCTCTTTTCCACCCGCACTGCGTGGATGATGTCGCTCTCATCGCTGTTGGCTGTGGGGTTGGGGACACAGGCGTGACCCCCATGCCTATTCTGGGTGCAGTGGACCCCTGGGTTCCCAAACTTGGGGCCTGAAAGAGCTGGATTGCTGGGCACAGGCACCCAGGGACCTAAGCAGGGGGGACAGCCAATTGCTGAGTTTCCTCCAGGAGATTTTGAGACTACAGGCTAAGGAGGGGAGGGGAGCAGACGAGACAGAACTCCATGTGGGAAGACACTGTTCTCTCTCCCTCATAATTTCAGTGTCTGTGTGTCCAGTGCTTAGTAAGCTTCCCATACCCACAGCCCTGAGATAGGCCAAATACCTAAAAATCTTAGTACTCTGAGGACCAGATGGATAGAAAAGAGGTTCAAGAACCTATTCCATAGGGCATAGTTGAGGGAGACTGGGCTCTTCAGCGGAAATGAGAGTGTTAGCTCTATCTTCAAACAGTTGAAGAGCTATTCTGGGCCTCTTCTGAAAGTTATTAGATGTTTTTGACTATGCAACCCAGAGGGCAGAACCAAGCCCACATAGTGGAGTGAGAAGGAACAAGGGGAAATTTTCTAAACTTTCATCTCTCAGGCAATGGAATGAGTTTTCCAGGCGGGAGAGTGAGTTCCTCACTTTTGGAGGCATACACGCTGATCCCTGGTAAATCCCTGCCTAGGAAGTTGTGGAAGGATCCCTGAGGCAATTTCTATATCTTAACCTCTGGGATTCTGGAGGTAAAGCCTCTAAGAGCTACCTGACTATGAACAGAGAAAACTCAAACAACACCATGTTGCACATGTGCCCAGAGCCCAGGATGCTCCTCTCCATCTGCGCTGGGGCAAGGCAAGGGCGGAGGGTCCCTGGGGGCTGGAGTTGCGGGGGAGGCTTTCTTGCAGGACTAAGGTGGGTGGACTTTGGGTGGATGGAGGGGAAAGGGAAGACACTGACGAAGGGCTGGAGTGAGCAAAGGCCCAGAGTTGGGTTCTTGAGGAGGCCTTTCTGTTGGAGAAAAGCGCTAAGACTTCTTTCTCTCTCTCTTTCTCCACACATATGCGCGCACACGCACATGCTTCTGTTTGATCTAAGTGGAAAACCAGGCTACAGTGCATGATGAGGGCAGCTCAGGAAGAACCCCCCAAGGGCAGCCTGCGGGCCGGGGTGGTGCAGAACAGAGACGTGGAGATCCTGGGGCTTCCTAGCTCACTCTCTGCATAGGTTTTGAGACCTTTTAATCCCAGCCAAGGAGATTTTTGCTTTCCTGTTCCTCAGCCCCCTTTCTCCTCGACCATCCCTGGGACCTCCCTAAGGCGCTGGGCCAGGGGGAATGCCAGATTTGGGCATGTGAGCCTAAGAGCTTAGGGCATCGGAGGCTGGAACCTTCTCTCCCTCCACTGTTCTAGTCCAGGCCACCAACCTCTCCAGGCACTACGCAGCCTCCCTTTCCCCTGCTTCTTCTCTTGCCTCCTTTAATCCAGTCTCTACACAGTGGCCAGAGTCAGCTTTTCTAACAGATCATGCCTTTCCCTTGATTAAAAATGTCAATGCCTGCCCCTGCTTCCAGGAAGAAACCCATGCCCCTCCCATACCAGATAAGGCCCTTTACGGGCTTTCCTCTGCCCACCGCTCTCCCCTCACCTCTGGCCTCCCTCTGGGCCACCCCTGGGCTTTGGGCCACACCGATCACCTTCCTGTTTCTCTCGTGGGCCCATCCTTTCAGTGTCCCCTCTGAGATACTCTTGCCCAGACCTTCATGAAGCCGGCTCCCATCCCTCAGCCCTCCTGACTCAGATGCCGCCTTCTCAGAGAAGCTGGAGTGCCCTACCTCAGGAAGTCCCTTTCCTCCTCCCACATAGTCTCTGTTCGAGTGGCTCTCCGAGCTGGATCACGAGACCAGCAGCACCGCTGCCTGGGAACTTACTGAAAATGCGAATTCTCAGGCTTTACCCCACAGTCACTGAATCAGAAGCTCTGGGGGTGGCATCGAACAATCTGTCTTTTAACAAGCCCCCCAGGCAATTCCAAAGTTGGAGAAACACTGCGCTGTCATATCATCTGACTTAGTTCCTTCAAGAATCTTACCATGCTTTCTCATTATTTGTATATTATTATTCATTATCTGTCTCCTTTCACTAGACTGTAAGCTCAGCCATGGTAGGGAACTTTATCATTCTTTCCCACCGACATAGCCCCAGTATGTTGCTCAGTACTTGGTATTTGCTGAGTAGTTTTTGAATACACGAAAGAATGAGTGGATGGATGAATGGGTAAACGAATGAGCGAGCAGAGTGAGGAGAAAGAGCTGGTTTGGATTAAAGATACTGCAATTTCTCTGGGACCAGCTGAGTTTGAGGAGCTGGTGGGACTTCATGGGGGTGATGTGAGGGGAGGTGTTCCCCTTCCCACTCTGTCTCCCTTATCAGTTGCTTTAGGCCGCTGAGCGGCCTAAATAATAACATGGGGGAGGAGTTGTAGGCTGCAGTGAGTTGGGAGATATTTGCGCTCAGGCAGAGGGGGAGATTCTGAGTTCAGAGGCTCCCAGCCCAGACAGACTAAGGGCCAGCTGGTCAGAGCAATGCGCCTTGGACACGGCGTGTCTGGTGTGTAAGGGGTGCGCAGGAGGTGTCTGCGGTGTGTGTGAGAGAGGTATAGCGCGGCTCTTTTACTGCAATAGGACTTAGCAGGGGCAGTGTTACAGTGCTCCCCTCCCCGCGCCATGCCTTCTAGCCCCTCTGGGGACTTCTGCTCCATGACTGGAAAGTCAGTCAGTGGTGACCCTCAACAGCGCTCCACTGCTCCCCCTAAGGTGAGGCTGAGCGTGTGGATGATGGTGGTGAGTTGCTGGGCCACGAGTGGAGGAGAGCCTGATCTCTGAGCGACACGCTCCACCCCTGCCCCAGAGATGCCCCGCTGGGTCGGGGGAGGAGCAGGGTCCGAAAAGTCCAGTCTGGGCTTCAGCCAGGGCACTCTGCTGGCTGAGAGACAGGGGGAGAGCTGGAGATATTTATCTGGTCCTGTCCACAGAAAGCCCTGGCCCTGGGGGCCTCCCCTTCCCTGCTGCCATTCAAGGTCCTGCTTTGCTCATCTGCTCTTTGTTGCCTCACACCTGCCACTGCAGCCAGGCTGTCTCTTAAGCGCCTGCCCCATTGTGCTCCATGCTTTCTGCATCCATCCTTTGTCTGTGATACCTCCGCTCCACCACCAGCTGTTCTCACTGATGTCTCTAAGCCCCGCTACACTGTAAATTTCTGAAAGTGAACGTTGAGCCCTATTTCTCTCTAGATTCCCTGAAGAACCTAAGTAGGGCCAGTACCGAATCTGTGTCCAGTGAGATGACATGAAGCATCCACACAAGCTTAGCTCTCCTATCCTTCAGGGCCCAGGCCTGGGGCTCCCAACCTGACCTTCCACCTTCCTTTTCTCCCCGCTCTTCTAAACATCTGCTACTCTGTTCTCATTTCCTCCCTTTTGCATGTGAAGCCTTTCATTCTGTCTGTCCAACCGGGCACTGGCTCCTCACAGCTCAACACAGAGCTGGCCACACAATAGGCTAGAGATGGAGGACGACCTCTATCCCGCACACGCTGCAAAGGCATAAACGAATGGGTTTGGACAAAGGTGGAGTCCATGAAATAGAGGGGCCAATACCCTGCCTAGCTCACTTGGGGGCTGGCATACCACACAGGCGTGCACACACACACACACACACACACACACATACACTCAAATGCCTTGCCCTTTTTCCCGCCTCTGCCCTTGCTGCAATCTTGGAGCTCTTAAGGACTGGTCTGAAGGAGAAAAAAAAGTAGATGAGGAAGAATGTAAGGGTTGCCAGAAGCCCCCATCTTTAAGACTCCCATCTTGAGTTTCCCCACCCATATGGGGCTCTGCCTCTTTCTACTTAAAGCCACAGGTCCGCTCTCCCCACCCGTTACTCCGGGCCTGTGGCTGGGCCCCGCCCCCACCTTCGATGGGGGAGTTGATGAGGATGACACGGCCCATGGGCGATGAGGCTCGGATTCCGCGGGGGGGCCCATTCAGCAGCCGCTGTTGCTTCCTCAGCAGGTATCGGGTTGCGGAGCCTGAGTCGCTGCCCAGGTGGCCTCGGGAGGAGAGGGAGCTCAGAGAGCTGGAGCTTAGGTCTCCAAGGCCCAGTGGGTCGAAGCCCACTGAAAAACCGCGCGCCATTGCGGCTCGACTACGGGTCCAGAAGGAACCTGCTAGCCCTTGAGAGGAGGGCCCTGCGTGCTATGGGCACCATGAGACTTCGGGGCAGGACCGGAGTCCCAGTGAACGGGAGCCCCACCTCCGCTGCCTCTCTGGAGTGTGCACTCGAGGCCTGTGCAAGAAGAATGGGGTATTTGAGGGGTGTGTGAATGCTGCCTCCCAGGATTTCCACCTCTCGCCCTGGTCTGAGCATCCTGCACTCCCATGACTCAGGCTCCTCACTCCAGCACCCCTGGCAAGGGAACTGCCCAGTCCAGGCACCATCGTGGACTTTTGTAGCCATTCATACAAGGCGGGTGGGAAACTCTCCTTCGCCCCTCGTTCCTGCTCTCAGCTGAGTCATCCACTCGGTCCTCAGTCCTCATTAGAGGTTGAGAGAGTGGAAGAGACAAGATTATTGCAGACCCTGGGGTTTCAAGCTGTGTGAGGGAAACCGGGGCCAGGACAGTTCGCTGCACACCTCTCAGTGTATGAGGGCTGGGGGCTGCTGACGCTCAGGCCTCAAGGGCAGGGCTTCAGGACCTGGGACAGCTGCAGCCAAGGACTGCAGATTCCCTGGCCTCCAGAGACCACCCGCCCCCCGCAAGATGCCAGGCTGCTGTCCCCTCCATCCCCCCTCCTCTCCCGTCTACAGACGTTGCGTGACCCTCTCCCAGGCTTGGGGGAGGACCTGCTGGCGAGAGCTCCACATCATCCCGCGCAAACCCGGAGTCAAGTCCCCCAGAGCAGATCGCACCCGACCCCCAGGTCCGTCCTCCCGGTCCCCGCACCTTTCGGTGTTGGACCCCGGCTCCTCTCACCTGCTCGTGCGTGCGGCGGCCGCTGGCCTCGCGCGCCCGCGGGCGCGAGCAACTGCTGTAACAGGGGACCCCGCCCACGCCTCGCAGAGGCTGCGGGAGCAGGGAGGGCCTGAGCGGTCCCGCGCTCCTATTGGCTGAGGGAGCCGCCAGTCACTCCCTCTCGCCACCTCTTTTAGACGCCCGGGACAGCCTTTGTCACCTGGACTGGGGCCACTGGGTTCTACCCACTCCAGTTCTAATGCCTACCCTGAGCACGAACTTAGGGCGTGGGTCTTGGCTTGCCCTCCTCCCACTACCGGTTCAGCACAAGGGAGCCCAGAACCTTGTCTTCTCCAGGCCACGCCAGCTACTGAGGCTCATGGAATTGCCACCCGTTCACGGTCAACCCCGAAGCCTTAGTGAGGGAAGGGCATCTGGACAGAGCGGGGCGTGAGCCTGCATTGGGCAGGAGTGGACTGGAGCCTGGGTGTGCTGCAGACCTGCTCTGTACTGCGACTGGGTGAGTTGTGTGTGTGGTTGAGGGCTGCCTTCTTGACATGCATCCCCTGTTTATGTCAGCAAATAGTCTCACTGGTCACGCAGTTACAGAAAAGTCACAGGGACCGGCATCTTGATCCAGGACACTAAGGGGAAGAAGAATCTTTTTGAGCCACTTGCTTGATGCAAACAGAGCCTTGAGACCTGCCGCTTCACATCTCAGGACTGTGGTGCAAGGATGGGGAATGGGGACATAAGGAAACTGGGGACGCTAGCGATTACAGAGGGGAATAAGGACGGGGGACATAGAAGGGCACAGACACGAGCAGAACGGGACTGTGAAAGGGTGAGAATGCCGAGGTGCTTCGAGGGAGGAGCTTGTGGGAAATGAGGTAGGAGCCCAGGGGGCCAAGTTGGCAGAAGCCACTGCCAAGGCAACCGACAAGTAAACAGGCCCGGAGGTAACCCGAGTCCCTGCAAGCGCACCATCAGAGGGATGGCCTGTCCACAATACCCGCTTGCGCCGTTCCAAGTCTTGGCCCTGGACACCTAGAGCCCTGGCTGCCTAGGCCGGGGGCCTTGAGAGGCCTGCCAGGGGATTGCAGGCACCCTTGGCTCCTCCCCTCGTCTCTCTGACTCAGGACTGAGCCAGAACTGATCCCCGAGCCCGGATTGGCTCTGGGAGGGAGCGTTGGGTGGAATCCGGAAGGCTCGGGCTGGGGGCGTCGCCTCAAATGACACCCACCGCCCTCAGGCTCTGCCAATCCCTGGGCACGCCGGGCAGACGCGCTGGTGGGGGCGGGGGTGTCCCCCGCCTCCTGAGGTTTAGCGTCACGCCCGACGTTACACGTGAGGGGAGGGAAGGAGGGGGCGACGCGCAGAGAGTAAGGCGGGTCTGAGAGCTGCAGAGGCCAGGAGCCCAGGAAAGTGTGAGTGCTGCGGGAGGGTTCTGGGGTCAGACGGGTAGGGGGCTGAAGACTGGGAGTAGAAAAGGAAGACCGTCTGCCTTCTCTGTCCTTTCCGGGTTCAGGATATATATGCGTCTTTACCTGGGGCACGAGGAGAGGTTGTTTGGGGAGAAATCTCAGGGTGGGGCTCTGTGTGGTCACACTGTGAAGTGTCCGCAACTGATGGATATGGGCTGTGGGGGTGTGTGTGTGCACGCTCGCGCACAAGTAACGGTCTTTATGGGACAGTGCATGCAGGGTGCGTCCACCCTCTTTGTATGCCAGTGTGGGGCGAGTATGATGGTGTTTTGTGTGTGGGTATGTGACTGAGTCTGTGAAAGAGGGGAGGGTGTGTCTGGCTGCGAGGGAGGAAGTGTGGCAGAAGAGGATTAGTCATTCTGTAAGATTTTGCCTGATATAGCCAGCTGGCTGTTTCAGGCTTTCTTCTCCGTGCTGGGTGGAGGGGGCGCTTACAGGATCCCACCCCTTTCTGGAGACTGGTGGCTCTGGGGAGAAGCGGATGGCTGTCTGTTCCCGCCTTGCCCCGCTGGGGAACAAGGAGAGCTCTGGGCCATTCCTCGTTGAAAACATACACAGCACACACACTCAGCTGGCCTCAGAGTCCCCTGTTTGAGATCTGGGATAGATAAGCCCTGCGGTGGCCAATGAGCTCCTGCTCTCCTCCAATCAAGAGTGGTGGTGTGGGATGGCTTCTGGTGCCTTCCCAAACAGCCTTGGGAGTTTGTATCCAAGTTCCGAGGCAGCTGGGGCCTAATGCTGATGTGAACATAGCTGTGGTGTGCATAGTATATGCATTTTTGTACATACAGAGCACAGGAGTAGCTGCATGGAATTAGTTGCTGCTCATGTATCAACCACACACATGTAAATTCTCACTCACGAAAATCTGGACCAGGCCGGAGCACAAGATCTATTTTCCTGGTTCTGTCCCACCCACCTCCTCCACCCCCAGCCTCCTCCAGTGGTGGTAGGTGCCTGGGCCAGGACAAGGCCTAGAAAACAGCTCCTCCCCCACTGTTCCTTACCTATCTGGAGTCACCTTGAGCTAGAAGGGATTGGCGATAGGCCCAGAGACCAGGGCAGGGCCACCAAAGGCTTTCCCAAGTGGAGCTCTTGGGCGCTTTCCTTGGAGCCCTCTGACTCCGGTCCCTGTTCTGCAGAAAATGGGTGAGTTGCCCTTAGATATCAACATCCAGGAACCTCGCTGGGATCAAAGCACTTTCCTGGGCAGAGCCCGGCACTTCTTCACTGTTACTGACCCTCGAAATCTGCTGCTATCCGGGGCACAGCTGGAAGCTTCCCGGAACATCGTGCACAACTACAGGTGACCCTCCGTCCCCACCTCACCCTGTACCGCAGGATCTTACTCCCTGCCATTAATGCAGTATCCCCAAGCTTGAGAGTGACCTTGTCCCACCCCTCACTCCCTGGCCCTATGCATTAGAATCACAGACAACTATGGCACAGAGCTTTAACCCAAAAGATTGTAGGTTATTTGAAGAGGTGGCCTTGATATTTATGCCTCAAAAACTATGTACAGGGACTTTTCCCACTGCTAGACTACCCTCTGCAAGGACAGAAGGGCTCAAAGTTGCGTACCAAGGAGGTAGGAGGGCATCCCCTTTGTCTCCCGGAAGGAAAACGCTTGCAATACCCCCAGGCATTTTGTGACCTATTGGAAACCACCAGTATTTGGGCATAAACACAAGGGCACCTCTCTCTGTGTAGCTAGTAGGGAAATAGAAATAGGACCCACCCCCGGAAGATTTGATTGTCTTCCAGAGACCAGGAACTCCTTCATTTTGAGACTGGGGACCAAATGCCTGGTCCTCTGCCCAGACTTTTTCTGAGCCAGATGGGCAGGGCTTGGGAGGGCACATCTGCTGCCTAGAACACCGGTCTGTCTCCTGTTGACCTCTGTAGGGCTGGCGTGGTGACTCCAGGGCTCACCGAAGATCAGCTGTGGAGGGCCAAGTATGTGTATGACTCTGCCTTCCATCCGGACACAGGGGAGAAGGTGGTCCTGATTGGCCGCATGTCAGCCCAGGTGCCCATGAACATGACCATCACTGGCTGCATGCTCACCTTCTACAGGCAAGTCCTATCCTGTGTGTCCCCGCCCTGACCACTCTGTCCAGGCTAGAGCATAGCTTGATGGCTAGGTGCTTCCTCTCTGGGCCAATGTGGGCAGAAACTAGTGGGTGGATGAGAGCTTGTGTTAGAATCCCTTGCATTCCTGAGAACTCAGCCTCCGGGTGCCCCAACCCCACAGAGAGTAGGTGTGTGTGTGTAAGTGGGGAGGGTCATTTAGGGGTCACCAGAGCAGGATTTAGGGTCATCAGCTGGCTCCCTCCTGAAGGTTTGGGAATAACCTTTGGGGTTTCATTATTGGGGTCCAAGGATGAGGGACACTGTGGAGGGGACAGAAGTAAATGTCTTTGTACCCTCAGGACGACCCCGACCGTGGTGTTCTGGCAGTGGGTGAATCAGTCCTTCAACGCTGTTGTTAACTACTCCAACCGTAGCGGTGATGCTCCCATAACTATGGGGTGAGAACTTGTCCCCAGAGACTCTTCTCTCCGAACCCCGTTGCTCTCTCCCATTCGATACTGTTCACCGAGGGCCCGTGCAGCCAGGGGCTCTGTACCCTCCTCCCCACTTTCCTGGCCTGAGGGCATGGGGTCCTCTTGTGTGTGCTTTTGGGGGCGACCTGCTCTTCTTCAAGGGGAGGGATTGGGGCTTCCAGACAAATCTACACTAAGCATGAGAGGCGTTTCTCTGCAATAAGAAACGCCTTTGGTGCTTCACGCATTGAGGATTTGGTATGTCCCTGAAAGAAAAAAACGTATGTTGGAAAAAACCTATGTTCACCTCCCCCCTTGTCTCTTGGCTTTTCTACCCATAGGCAGCTGGGAACAGCTTATGTGAGTGCCACCACTGGGGCTGTGGCCACGGCCCTGGGACTCAAATCCCTCACCAAGGTAAGTGCCCCCCACCCCCCCCATTCCACTGGTCGCCAGTCATCCTTTATCCGCTTCCTTCCCCGTCACCCCTCCACACCAGCCCACGGCCTCCTGTATCTTTTCCCAGAGTTCCTCACCACCCCATGACCCACAGGGCCACTAAACGACATCTTTCCTCCCCAGCATCTGCCCCCTCTGGTTGGCAGATTTGTGCCCTTTGCAGCTGTGGCAGCGGCAAACTGCATCAACATCCCTCTGATGAGGCAGAGGTGAGTGGCCCCGACTCCTAGCCTGCGCGTGCCCCACGTGCGCGCGCGGGCACACCACCTAGTGGTGCACGCCAGCCAGTCGGCACCGCCCTCTCCCACCCTGAGCATGAGCTGCTGGGCCCAGTTGCAGTCTGATGCCGGGGTCTGGGTGAGAGAACCGGCCTTTCAATCTCGGATTTCTGAGGGGACCCCAGGGAATAGCTGCCCATGAGGGCGTCATGCTTGGGATTTGAGGCCTGTGATCAGACCCTCACCCCCTTCCTTTTGCAGGGAGCTGCAGGTGGGCATCCCTGTGACTGACGAGGCAGGTCAGAGGCTTGGCCACTCAGTGACCGCGGCCAAGCAGGGGATCTTCCAGGTGGTGATATCAAGAATCTGCATGGCGATCCCTGCCATGGGTGAGGCAGGAGTGGCTGGGTGGGCACGGGAGGCTCGGAGAGAAAGGGGGTTTGGAGGACTCTGGAGGCAGTGGGACGAACTGCAGAGGGGGATCCTCCTTCCTTAGGGTCCCAGCTGTCACTCTCCTTACTCTCTCCCTCCCTGCCCTGCTCTCTCCTCAGCCATTCCTCCCGTGATCATGGACGCTTTGGAGAAGAAAGACTTCCTGAAGGTAGGTCACTTTCACCTCTCCTGTCCTGGAAGTAGTAGTGACTGGGAACAGAAGTGACCAGTCCCTAACCCCCTCTCTGGCCGGACCTGAACCTAAGACTTGCCACCTGTTTGCCCCACCCCGGTGCTGCCTCCTGCGCCTTCATTCATTCAGAAACAATGAATTGGGCTGGAGTGAAGGACACTGAGGGAACAGGAGGGGAAGATAAGGGAAGAAAGGAAACTGGTGTCTCTCAGAGCCTCTGAAACTCACCACGGGTGGACTGTCATAGTCGTGCTCGCTATCATACCCATGTTGTCACCTATGAACAGCAGTGAGACACACACATGCATGCACACACAAGCAAGGAATATAAGCTCTGGCTCATTCACTGGATCATTTATTCACAAACATTGATTGAACAACAACTATGCCCGTCTGAGTGACAGAATGAGGTCCCCATGGCTGGAGCAAATCGAGAAGGGCGTGCAGAGCAGGAGATACGTTTGAAAATGGACAAATTCATGTCACTGAGATGGGAGGAAGGAAGTGGAGGGTCAGAGGGGGCTTCCTGTGGAAAGCAGCTCCTGGAGGAAGTAAGAGAAGAGAAAGAGGGGCAAGGAGTGCCATGGGATCCAATTCTGAGAGGCCAGAGCAGGTAAGGGGACACTAGGGAGGATGTCAGCAAACATGTCTGGCTGGAGTGGAAGGTGGTGATTTAAAGCTACTGACCTGTTACGGGTTTTGGAGAAAATAAAGGGCCGTGTACCAGAGGCTGGAAGGTAGGACGGATGGAATAGAGCCATGGTGGGTGAAGGGCGGGGCACAGGTGGGCAGGGGACACACACCATTCTGTTGTCTCTGTCTCCCTACAGCGCCGCCCTTGGCTGGGGGCTCCACTGCAGGTGGGCCTGGTGGGCTTCTGGTAAGTGTGCAAGGGGTTAGGATGTGTGGGGGCGCCCTTTCCATGGTGGACATGGGTGGGTATTTATTGCTTTTAAGATTTTATTTATTTATTTATTCATTTATTTATTTTATACATTGAGAAGATAGGGGCCTTAGACACCCATAGGTCATATTGTGTGTATGAGGGGTTGATCCTTCCTGCCCTAAAAGGTCAAGGGTTCAGTTGAAAGTGTTCCAGTCTTCATCTATGAGAGGAAACTATGGTAATAGACCTTTTGGTACCATCCAGGATTTCATGCACATTGAATTCCTGATTCTCACCCACTGGCCGTGGAGCTCTGGGTCACTGCTTTGGAGGTTCTTTCCTCAGCCAGAACCTAGTGTCAGTGTTGGCTTTAATCAGTCTCCGCCCCTGGGGGCAGTGTCCAGAAGTGGGGTGGGGTGCAGGGAGGGAACACCCTTCGGCTGAAGCTTCACAACCTTTCCAACACTCTTCTCCCCAGCCTGGTCTTTGCCACCCCTCTGTGCTGTGCCCTGTTCCCCCAGAGAAGGTAAGTGTAGCCCCTCGGGCTTGCCTGGGGCCTCTGGACAGGTTCCATACCCCTGGAACCAGCTGCGCTTAGGGTCCTTCAGTATGGCCGTAGCGGAGTGACAGTGATCTGGGCCTTTTGCTCTTCGACGGAGAGTCTTCAGCTTGGGAATAGGAGGGATGGTGATCCCTTAGCCTGAGGGGCTTGGGTTCAAGGGCCACTCAGCCTGCCTGTGCTGTTTTGTTGCAGCTCCATACGTGTGAGCAGGCTGGAGCCAGAGCTGAGAGCTCAGATCCATCAGCAAAATCCCAGCGTTGAAGTGGTTTATTACAACAAGGGGCTCTGAGGGGGAGTCAGCCCCGGCCCCTCCCTCACCTCCTTGGGCCGCTGCATTAGTGGAGCCCTGCCGTCCTGCCACTTTCTCTTCTGCCTGGTATTGGGCAGCGGGCTTGGTGGGGAGCAGCCATTGAGACCAGCAATCCACGAGGCTGGGGGAGGTACCCCAATAAGCCTTTTTCTCTCCTCTTTGGTTCCAAAGAGAAGGGTCACAAAGTCCCTTTCTCCTGCGCTGTTTTCATATATGCATATGTGATGTGTGTGTACATGCTGTCCTGGAAGCCAGGAGAAGACATGCTGTCCTGGAATGTCCTGATATCTGGCTTCTCCTCTTGGCCTCCTGCCACCTGCCAGCCAGCTAGCCAGGCTATGGGACTTAGTTCCACTGGCCAAGTCCTATCTGGCAGCACCTCACCCCTTCTGGACATAGTAGAAGCCCCGGAGCACAGGACAGACTGAGGGACACTCACAAATCAAATGGGGCTGAATCCTTCAGGTTTCTGCTTCCTGGCTCCCAGCGCTGACACAGGAACTGGGCTGGCAGAGAAAGACATGCCACGCTAAAGGAAGCAGGGGGCTTATGGCATCCTCCACATCCTGGAATACATTTTTTTTTTCGTCTCCTCTTCTCTACTAGAACAAAGGAATGTCAGTATTCTGTACGACTCTTGCAATCTTCCCATCCACCCCTCCCCTGCAATGTGGGCATCTTCAGGCACAATCCCGGGAGTCTTGGTCCACACGGACATCATAACCTCAAATCTAAACCTACAGTCCCAACCCTCTCCCTCAACCAAAAAGCCACAGAGGCACAGAAGCATTCCAGTCCTCTTTCAGAGCTCCCCGTCGCACCCTCTTACTGAGGGACACAGCTGTGGGAGCAGTGTTTCAACTCCATAGGTATCTGAATGGATGGAACTAGTACATCCTCAAGGACTACTAGGGCCCTGAGTGTATTATCTTAAAGGAGGGAATTTTGTGTTCCTTTGATCCTTGTTAGACATTCAGCGGAATCCCACCTTAGCTCCTTCTCTTTCTTGAGGCGTGGCCCTGCTCCCACCCCCACCCTCACCCCCATCCTCACCCCAAGAGGAGGGCCCAGGCATCAATGGCTGGTCCGAAGCAGAGGTGGGCTTTGGGATGGAGTGTGTGCTGGTAAACTAAGAGTACAGACTTGGACCTTGACTCCAACTCCCATGACCTCTGGCTGAAGCGGTGGGGTGAAGCCCCAGCAGGATCCATCACGAGCATTTTCCTGCTCCCCCAACGAACTGCCACTAATAATAAAAGCTATCAAGCCATTGTTAATAAACTGAAAACCTGTCTATTCTTGCTCTTCACTTTATTCCAGGTCTTGAGTGCCCAGGAAGAGCCTCCTGCCTGTGGCCTTCTCTCTCCATCAAGTGCAGGTCTTAGTCTCTTTCTTCCCCTTCGGTAGGGAGCCTCAGCTCCCAGCAGAGGGCGCTCTGAGACTAGAAAATCAGTCCTTCATCAGCACCCTGAGTACTTAAGGAGAAGGGACAGATAGGTAGATGCCTCTAGCTTTTATTCCCGCAGCAGATAGAGTCCTGGCTTCATTTCCTTCTTCGCTAGGGGTGCTGACTCACACACTTACATAACTACTCAGGTTCTGCGGTTCTTTGTTCCCTTCAAGCTTTTGGCATGGGGTGGTAGCATCTGGTCTCCCGAGAGGCCCCTGCGTGGAGGAAGTCTGGCTAAGGACTGCCCAGCATCATCAGAGAAAAGTTGTTAGTTCACCAACACACCCTCCACATCCCTCCAAGCCCCCATAGATACAACAGGGGAATGAGTCTGGCAGGGACCATTTACCTTCAACAGCCCTTTCCTCTCTCCCAGGGCTCTCTACTTCCCCCCTGCTTAGGTAACCCCCTCCCTTTTTTTCTGGGAGAGATGAGACCAAAAGTTCATGCAAAAGTGTGCAGCTGGTGAGAGCTACTATTAAACAGTTTATAGTTACCTTTCTTACCCTGAGTCTTGGCTTTGGAAGATTCAAAAGAATAAACAGGAATGAATCTATATTGAAATCCATTCCCTACTCCCTGCAGGGAATACCTCTCATTCCCTTTTTTTCAGCCCCAAACTCTCCAACTACATGGCGGGGAGAAATCTGAATGACCCCTCAGCAGCCTGAGGTAAACCTGCTACCTTGGCCTGGGCGCACCCACTCCTCTTGGGGTGTAGAAGGCGGCTTGTATGGGGAGTGGGAGTGATACCAGCTCCTGGTTAGTGAGTCCTGCTGTGTGGTGCCAGGGTTAATGAAACAAAGTGCTTTAACTCCCTTATTGCTTTTGATTTTCACAACCACTCCTGCGAAGCCAGACATGTGTCCATTCTTAGCAACGATACAAGCTTAAAGAAAGTTGCCCACAGCTACACAGCTAGGAGGTGCTAGAGTCAGGCTTCAAGCCACGCTGTGTAACTGAAGCTACTGTGGTATGCTGCTGCTTCACCTGCCAGCTGCTAGCCAAACCTGAAGTCATTTTCCTAGTCCCTGTGACGTTCCAAGATAGCAAAACTGACAGACCCACAAGTGTACACAGATCTTGTTACTAAAGTCACCGAGGAGTTTACAAGATTGAGGGTTTTATAGCTGAAGGAGTACGAGCACAGATTCCCATTCTTGATTAAATAGAGAAACAGTTTTAATTCCATCCTGTTCTGCGGACCTGGACCAGATCCCACCAAGCCCTCTGGAGCCCTGGGTCAGTTCCTGAAGCCCCTTTCTGCAGTTACAATTCTGGCCTTTGGTAACCCTCTTGAAAAGAGGCCTTGCACTTTCATTGGCAAAATCTATGTAAGATAAACCCATTTGGGAGTGAGGTGCAGGAATCTCTGTAAGACAAAATGTTCAAAACATTGTAGAACAGGATTGCCTGTTCTCAGCAGACCACATTAAACCATGTCAGAGAGAAGACTGGCCAGGGCACCAGTGGACCAGTTAGGAAGGAATGTTTCCCTGCCGTCTCTCCTAACTCCACGCCAGCTTCTCAAAGCAAAAAACCAGCTTTAGGCTAACTTCACAGGCTCTCTAGGGGCAAATCCTAGCCAGGTACATTTTCCAAACTGCCTCCGCATACTTAGACTTTTTCTTGGAAGTCAGCATTTGGGCAGAGGCAGCACTTCTTGCTCTGGAAAGTAATCTGCCCCCATTCTTGGGCCTCCCCTCCTCCTCCTAATGCTCAGGAGCCTTCTCTGGGAGCCTGCATCTGTGTGCTTGGCGTTCCTCCCCGCCTTCTTTCCCTCTCCTGGCCTCACATGCTTCAGAGACCCCACCCTGCCCATCATTAAGAAAGTCCACAAACCTTCCTATCTCCCGGCCCAAGGTCTAAGGAGAAAAGTGGTTTGGCTCTGGAGCCCTGGCTTAGCCTGGCCATAGGAAGGGGGCCATGTATCCTGCTTTTTTCCAGGATTACTGGGACTAATGAGACCAGCATTTGAGGGACAAGCTAGTCTCTAAGGTTAGTCCCTACTGGTTAGGGAAGCTTCACTCGAGCCCTGTGGGCTCCTGCCAGTCAGACTAGTCTCGTCCCGCGGGGTCCAGAGCCCTACGGGTCAGAGCCCTATGGGTCAGAGCCCAGCACCCCTTTCCTCCCAGTCAACCTTGTCAGTGTCAAGCCAGCCCCGCCCCGGGAGTCTGTCAGTCATAGGTAAGCCACGCCTCTGGGACGTAGCCAATCAGGAGCAGAATGCTGCCCCGGCTTTGGCCCCCGGCAGTCAGGCTCAGCTCCACCTCCCTGTTTCCCGGGCAACGGCTTTAGCCCCGGAAGTCTGAAATACAATTCATCCTCCCTACCTGAGCCTGGAACCTACTTCTCAGGTCAGCTTACCATGTGACTTGAGTCCTGGACCGCGAAATCCGTTAGGTTCACTTCCCCCTGGCCAGTTTCGGAGCCCACGAGCACCTCGGGACCCTCCCTTTTGACTTCCTGCCTGGAAATCCGCGAGGTTTTCGAGGAATCACACAAGGCCTCTCCTGGGTCCCAAGCCCCGATTTTTGCCGCGGCCTCTGGGGCTCTTTCCCTTGCCTTTTGCGCCGTCTGACCCCCTCATTCCCTCCGCCCTTGCATCCCATGTTCAGGAAACGTTTACTGAACTCTCATTAGAATGTTTCTGTGCTCGGATAAAAATGGCCTGCTGGGTGAACAGATTCCCTTCCCATCTGCGGGGACACAGCCTGTACCTAGTAGTCATTAAGGCTCCACTCCCTGTTCCCTCTCGGTCAATCTCCCCACCGATTGCAGTGATTTCTGGTCCTCATGCAGGGACAAACTTTTGCTAGAAGTTGTGGCAGAATCTTGATCTAGTTGCATCATTTCCCAAAAGGGAGCTTCCTGGGCTGCTGCTTTCTCTCTTCCTGTTTACACGTTTTTTCCCCCTCACAATCAGCCCCACGCACACTGCCAGAGGGACAATGGCACCCTCCGCTTCCGGCCTCAGCCTCCTCCAGCTTCTTTTTTTTTCAATCTTTTCGGACAAGGGAGGGTTTGGAACTAAATAACGACCCAGAGAATGTGGGAGGAAAACTGCCTAGCTTGGGGTGCACACACAACCCCTTCTTTCCCCGACTTCATTCAGCCAGGAGGAAAATAACCCGTGCCTGTAACAAGCAGCTGCTTTAGGGTGAAGTGTTTGCTATGGACCAAAAGTTTGCTATGTTAATCTATAAATCAACCAATGAACCGCCTATGTTATTTTCTGACTGAAGATCTCTCCTCTTCTATCACCAGCAAGTCCTCAACTGACAATCTTCATTTTAAAAATTTATTTATGTTTGGGGAGGCATAATGATGAAAACAAATTTATCCTTTCTCATTACACTGTTAAACTTGCTTTGTGGAAATGGACAACTTTTGGGGTGGGTTAGGTGGAGGAGGGCAAAGGGGGGGGAATTGGAATAACTGTAATACAATAACAATACAAAGATTAAAAACAGAAATTGACAACTTTTATTTCCCAGATGGAGCACTTCTAGTTTGGTTTTAATTGAAGTTATTTTGTGGAAAAGAGCAGACAATAATGGTGGCTAGCTTCAGTAAATAGGGGGATGTAGTGGAGGGAGTTGTCTGTAGGCCTAAGAACCAAAGATGGAATTAACCAACTTGGCCTTGGAAAGGGCAGGAAGCTGGGCAGCTCTGGGGGCCTCAGTAACGAGTTTATGGGCACTGCCACTAAGGTACAGCTTCAGCTAGCTCCAGACTCTGATCTCGCCATTCAAAAACTGATACAAAGTAGATCAGTTGTCTATCCCTCTGAGGTGGCCAGAGGTCAGGGTCAAGTTGCAAGGACATTGAACATCATTACTTCAGGTCCACCTCTGTGGTTGGGGCTGCTCCCAAAGGAAGGCCCCTGTTGTGAGCTGGGAATCATCCTGATTGGTATTTATTACAACATGTGTTATTATTGGTCCTACACAGATGATTCTCTCCAGTTTAAATGAAGACCCTCCTCAGGGCAGGCACTGTATCTTCACTTTTTTTTCTTAATTGTGATAAAAAAAAAACATAACATAAAATTCATCATGTTGACCATGTTTAAGTGTACAGTTCAGTGGTATTAAGTGTATTCAGATGGTTGTGAAACAGATCTCCATGGCTTTTTCATCATACACATCTGAAATGTTATACTCCCTGAACAACATATATCATCAATTTTATGTGCCCATAGCATAGTGCCTGATCGACAGTAGGTACTCAATGGATATTTGCAGAATAAATGGATGTGGAATCCAAAAGCACCCTAAACCCCATTCATATGTTGGTTCTAGGTAAGATCACTAACTCAGTGGTTCTCAATCTGTTTTACTCCTCAGTGAACATAAAAAATGTGACATATTTACAACAGAGACAAGGGCTGGCAGCTTTAGTGATTTTCAGCTTGGAGGATGGGGGAATGTGTCCTCCCAGGGAGGCGTATCAGAATCTTGGGGGTAATGTGGCTTGAAAAGTTCCCCAGGCAGAGTGGAGTTTGGCCCTAGATATAGCCCTACATTGAATGGTCAGCAAGAGAAGGAGCCTAGCCCTTCCTTTTCTGTGTCTCTTTAGGAGTCCCAAAGGTAGAGGGCTGAGGGAGAGTGTCTCATATGTAATCAGAGCTACCATCTCCAACTCTGTTGTCTGTCTGCTCCCCTGCACATGTTTATGCCATTTGCCTTTGGCAGTTTGTTCCTTGTGGTGCTGACCTACCCTCCACCCCTGCGGCTTCTTGGGGCTGGCACCAAGCTTCCATCATGTAAGGCGTACTGGAAAGGAGACACCTTCACCTTATTCTAGTCCAGTTCCCACCAAGTGGTCCCTCAGCAGACTTGTTTGGGCCTCTG